TGTGATCAACGATAAATTAACGACACATATGTGGTAATTTGAAATTGCTAAGTGGAAGGGAAAAAAATGAAACTAGGCAAGTGATATTTGATCTGTAGAGGAAAAAAGTATAATTGAGAGCTTCCAAAATTGTCGGTCAAACGGCATTAGTCTGAGGACAAATAATTCTGTTTGGGGTTTGATCATCGGTATAAACAAAATTTTGTAGATAGAAAGACCATCTTTAACGACTTATCCCTCATATCCATTTTAGATAGGTATATCTATTTATCCTAAGCTTTTCTGCTTGCTATGCATCACACATAATCACTTCTCGTATCTTTTTTCCTTTGTTTTCTCAACTGTAGTTTTACAACCTTAGAATTTACTGCTAAAAACCAACTGCAAATAAGAGTTACGAGTTTTCTTATAGAATACAAAAAATTTTTACAAATTTTTCTTTTGTTAGTTGAAACTGAAAAAAAAAAAAATGGAGAAAAATTAGAATTATTTTTTCATTGGAACCGGAAAAATTAGAAACTTTTTCAAAGATTTGATCAGCTGATAATTAAAGCAGAAAAAAAAAACTGAAATTTTTGTTGACAAACCTACTGTACTGTGCTTATTAATAAGGATAAAACAGAATACTTTTGTTGAGCAAAAAAGAAAAACCTGAGAGCAGTAAATTTTTATCCGCAAAAAATGAATGTATTTATAAATATATCTACTAATTTTTTTTTGTTGTTATTGAAATTAAAATTGTTGTTTAACAGATTGATATTTATTCAGTATCAAATATGAATTTATTTATGCAGATCTAATAATCGGTGGCAACAATAATCTACTCAAAAAGTTGTCGCCGTTGTCGTTGTTATTCTTTCAAAATCAAATAAAAAAAAATAAAAGAAGAAGAGAGGAAATAAAAAAGAAAAGGAAGTTTGGTTTAGTGTTGAACTGAATTTTTTTTTTACATACAAAGAAAGAATCCTTGGCCTTGTGAATAATAAGTTGGTTATGGGTTGTTTTAACTGTACAAATACCAAAAGATTTAGTTCAGACAGCTTCAGTCACTAATCAAAAAACGGATTTGCATTTTTCACGCATTTTTCAACGATATTTTAACGTACCCTAATCAGATGTATATTATCATAAAGATTATTAGTACTGAGAAAGAATAGCAGCACTAACCTAATGCGCATATTAGAAGAAGAAAAAATTTTATTGCCATTGTCATTGTTGTCGACTTTGGGACACAGTAGTAATTTTTGTACCCAAAACGGGAAAGAACAGGACAAAATCAACCAAATATCATTGTTGTAGGATTTTGGTAAATATTCTTCTAAAAAAAACTTGAATCCATTTATCTTTTTCAATTCTATCATTTCACACACCATCAATGTGGTAAAAACAACTGAAAATTTTATTCAACCGGCTACTGTAATTGTGTAAATTTTTTTATGTTCACTGATTAGGTAAGCAGAAAAACAAAAAAAAAAAAAAAAAAAAAAAAA